GAGGCTGCGTCAGGAGTGTCCGGGCAGAAAGACCTGACACGGGCTGGGGCCAGAGGAAGTGAAATTCAGGAGAGACCCAGAGTGCGGGGCCTGTGCCTCGTCCCCCGAAGCCTCCCGCAGTCAGAGGTGGAGCCTTTTCTGGGACTGACTCAAGGTGCAGGCTAGGCTCCTGGCCACTAAGATCCAGGGAGTGCCACCGCCCTAAGTAGCCGGAATAAGATGAAGGGGCAGAAGACCTGAGGAGGGCGCCTTCCTCTTCCCTGTGGCTTCTCTGTCTTCCCCCACCAGGAACTGCTGCCCCTCTGCCACCCTGCCAAGCTGGGAGCCAGCAGAAACCTCCACCAACCGCCAGCCAAATAAGTCTTTCCGCCTTTGACCTGGAGTGTGGGGCGTTTCAGCAATGGGAGGAAAGCAACTTCCACGCAGGATTTCCGACGCTCTCCTACATCCCAGCACCACCCTCGGGTCTGAGCCCCTGAGAAGCACTCCAGAAGTTCTGGGGCTTTCCTGGGCTCCTTGTTCCCTGCACTGGGAGCTCTCTGTCATGTGTCCCCCTGAGTCCTGGCCCCCGGGCTGTCCGTAGGAGCCATGGGGTCCTCAGGTCGGGCTGAGCCCCTCTTCCTCCTCTTTTCCTCCCGGTTCCCTGGCCCTCCGCCCTATCGGTCCCTAGGGTTCTCCTAGGAGATGGCTCAGCCAGGAAGGATTGCAGAGGCTGGGCTGGCTTGAAGAAAAGAAGTACCGACACAGCGGTTTCTTTCACCCTGGAGAAGTGCCCTCGGCCACCATCCAGAGAGGCCCACGTTTCCCTTAGGTTTGCCCGCAGTGGGCAGCACAATCTTTTTTTTGTTTTGTTTTGTTTTTTTTGAGACAGGGTCTCCCTATGTAGTTGAGACTGACCTGGAACTCACTGTGTAGCCCAGGCTGGTCTCGAACTCACAGCGATCCTCCTGTCTCAACACAATCTTGATATCAGCCATGAATCCTATTTGTAAAACCAGGGGGGTTTCTTCTGTGTTTACACAGCTGTGTCTGCAACTTCTTGCAATGATGCTCACATGGAGAATCAGGAAATACAATCTTGTTGATACAGTATATTTCAACCAGAGCATACAAACTTTACCTCAAACTTGCAGCGCTGCCTGCACCCAAAGTGAGCTTCTCCAGGCTATTTGCCCGTGTTGGAGTTAATATCTGAGGGAAGAGCCTGCCTATCATGCTGGGGCACCGTCCTACTTTCTTGATCCCGATTAGCACAAGCAAAACGGAAACTGGTAAAGGAAAAAGAAAAGGGGCAACTGGTTTTAAGATAGCCTCACAGAATGTGCTAAATCTCAAGGAATGTCTTGGTAGGCCCTGTACATTTGTACTTGTTAAACGTTGATAGAACCATTTAAATCTGAAAACAAAACATTGCTTTGAAATGGTCTGATCTGCTTTCTTTCCTCACTTCCTGCGTTCCATCCTTCTCCCCGGCTCCATCCCCCCTCAGGTCACAAGAACCTGCCTATCATGCTGGGGCACCGTCCTACTTTCTTGATCCCGATTAGCACAAGCAAAATGGAAACTGGTAAAGGAAAAAGAAAAGGGGCAACTGGTTTTAAGGTAGCCTCACAGAATGTGCTAAATCTCAAGGAATGTTTTGGTAGGCCCTGTACATTTGTACCTGTTAAACGTTGATAGAACCATTTAAATCTGAAAACAAAACATTGCTTGGAAATGGTCTGCTCTGCCTTCTCTCCTCACTTCCTGCGTTCCATCCTTCTCCCCGGCTCCCTCCCACCTCAGGTCCCCCCCCCCACATCACTTGAGAATTCCACAATGCTATCAAACAAACATCAGGAGTGGACTGTTTCATACCTCGTAGTGGACACAACAGTCACAAAGTCCTTCCGGTGCAGAAAGTATTGTGTGCTTCTCTGATGCACAGTTGTGCCTCTGTACTGGTTTCCTGTTGTTCCCTAACAAATTACCACATTTACCTGCTTGCATTTCTGAAGGTTGGAAGCCTAGGCCCGTGCAGGGTTTCCTCAAGTGGTGTTGGTAACCAGGAATCAGCTTCCACCTCCAGAGCTGCTTGAAGGATTTAGTTTCTTGTAGTTGTGGCCTTCATGCTCCATTTCCGTGCTAGCCATCAGCCTTTCCTCATATTTGGGAGCTTACCTCACACCGAATCCCTCTGACTCTCAGAACCTCTTTGCTTAGCAAGAAGCCAGTCCAGAGATGGGTTTCCCTGGAGGGGGAGGAATCGTCCAGGACATCGCATCTGCCCTAAGTCCTGAGATGGCCTTTAAGTAAATCCACTGACCGTGCGCACAGTAGCGCAGGGAGGAGCTGAATAAGCAGAGTTTGGTGCTTTTGCGGCATCTCAGATTCTGCCTAACATGGCCTGGGGCTTCCCAGAGTTGGAAATAAAAGTTAAATAGGTCGGTAATTATAATAGTAATGAAATACTGGGTATCTACTTAGATGTAGCATTTCTTCTTAAGTGTGAAAAACAAACGTCAGTGTGTGGAACATCTCCTAGCTAGTTTAAAGCAACATCTATTAAAGTGCAATAGAGGAGGTGTCAGGAACAGGGTAGACTAGGACGACTCACTTGTATCACCCGCAACCATCACTGGAGGCCACAGAAGGAAACTGTGAACTGAAACCCTACCGTTTTTGAGCCAAATACACCTTCCCACCTTTAACTTTGGGTGTCAGGTATTTTGTCTCAGCAATGAGAAAAGTTACTAAGACACTTTCTAAAAAGTCCATCGCGCAATACAGGGACATTTTGAGGGACATTTTTTATCAAAAGTGTAACAGGATAGAATTCATTTGACATCACTTTCAGTCATCTAAAGGTGTTGCTCACCTGTCTTCCCACTTACTCTGATGCCAGTGCAGAAACTCCTGTCATCTTTGTAATGATTTCTATAAGATGCCTTCTTTCTCTTATGCTGGTCTTGATTTTCTCTTCTGCTCTCTTCTCTTCTGGACAAAATATAGATAATTTTGTCCAACAATTGCAGAATGAATTTGGGCTAAAAAACTATAGGCCTGGATGGTGATGTTACAGATTCTCAAAAACGTCTGTTTGCTTCTTCCAGTGATAAAGCAGAGGCAAAGTTCTTCAGATGAATCCCATGTTGGCCAACGTGGTGGACAATTCCGTATCAACTTGGCCGGGTCCTGGGGCCGGACGTTTGGTAACGCATTATTCTGGGTGTTGACATGAGCGTGTTTCACGGAGGAGACGAACAGTTCACCCGTGAGACTCTCAGTAAACCAGGTTGCCTGCCCCATGGTGACGGCCTTCACCGGCTCACTGAGGGCTGGCTGGAGATCGATCCTCCATAGCTCCTCTCCAGCTTCCCAGTCTGGTTCTGGCCCTGTGCTGGGTCTTGGCTCCCACAGCTCCCTGGGACTGGGGCTCCAGCTCCAGGTCCCCTTGGTTTCTGTGCCCATTGAACAGGAGTGCAGGTCACTGAGGAGCCCATACCTGCTGCCTGGGAGGCAAGCGCGGTCTTGCGGGACGGAAGGAGCCTCACATCCGTGGGGTGTGGTGCTCAGCCCAGGTGGGGAGAGTGAAACTGCAGGGCTCCCAGTTTCCTCAGAGGATCGCATGATTTGTCAGGCAGAGAAAAAAAAGGAAGGGGGAGAGAAAGAAAAAAGCCATTGCCAGCTGTCAAAGAGAAATTTGGAGAAGGAAGATACACCTCAACCTTATCCCACACAGAGCAAAAAGGAAGCCAAATATAAGGATTAATTTTATGGCCTGAAATCTGCAAGGCGTTTCTTCCCAGCTGCTCACGCTGTAGCCTGTCAGGGGCACCACATCTAAACTGGAAGATGAGGTCCTTTTAAAGACCTTGCAGAAGTCACAGACACAAGCTGATATACGTTAGATATTTTCTGCCCAGAAATATTTCCATGAACAAGGAAATACAAATATTACTAGAAACTCTCTGGGCACACAGAGATTCTCTAAAGAGACATAGCTGTGTGTTTTAGTACAAGGAAGGGGCAAAGGCAAGAAAACATTGGCAGTAACTATTTTATCACCCACAAAGCCTGTGCAATTGTCTCACATGTAAACTGGTATAGACAAAAGCTGGATCCAGGTAGCTCACCCTCCTTGCAGTGAACGGGTAATGTCATTTATTAGTCACTTGCTCACGAACCGAATCCTCCTGTCTACATGGTATTAAGGTGCCAGGCCCCGTCACTGCTCTAAGAATTGGAGTGTCCCATGTTTCTGTCCCACAGCACAGATCCTGGCTCTTTTCCTAAGACAGAGGAATCCCATGCTGAGGTCTTTGTCCCTGCAGCATGGTGGACCTCACGCTCCCATTCTTGAAGATGGACTTCCCACAAATCTCTGCCCCCACTGCCCTGGCACCAAGGAGGATGCCCTGGACGTGGTGCTGGAAGTGGCGGTCACTACACTCCAGTGCCAGCAGCAGCAGTGACAGCAGCCCCAGCCCCGGTCCAGGGCCCGGCATCGAGGGTCAGGGGTGGAGCTGTGGCATCTGTGCCCATCAGCAGGGATGGTGGAGTCTGTGCAGGACCCGCCCTGTGGGTCCTGTCGGTGGATATGCAGCCCCAAGCCCACTTCCCTGGTCTTCATCAATATGGCATCAGCCCCGTGTCATGGATAATACTTTATGTGCAGTGTGCAAAAATGGGATTTTCACTGTTTGCCAAAAGAGATGACACACGGATCTGAGGAAAGGTTTCAGAAAGCAGCATGCAGATTGTTGTGGTGTGGTTGTTGCTCTGGGTTTGTAACCAGGGCCCCACACACATTTACTCTCACAGAGGTGCACAGTCCACCTGCACCCAAGAGATCCTCTTTGTGCTAAGGTGTGAGCCGTGTCCTAAATCTACCACCTGGCCTTGGGGACCCAAGTATCCAGATCCAGATACTCAGGGCCCAAGAGCTCCAACCAGGGGCCCTCAGCTCCATTGTGGAGCTTGCAGCATCGCTGTCAAAGCTCACAAACTGCATGTCGGTCCTCGAGGCCAACTGAGATGACCGTGGGACTGGACTGGACACACCCTGATTGTAAAGTAGCGCAGGGAGTGGGAACCTGCAGGGATGGCAGTGAAACCACGACCTCTTCCCAGGCCCCATAGCTCCTCCTGCCTCCCTCCACCTGCACTCACCCGTCCAGGTCTCAGGCAGGACCAGAGCCCCTAGAGCAGCAGGAGCAGGGTTCTGGGCGGTGTCACCTGGTCCTCGGAGTTCTGGACTCCTGATGTCATGGCCAACGGGAGATACAGAAAGGCACCCAAGACGTGGAGGCCAAAAGCAAACTCTACTTATGTCATCGGGCCCGGTTGGGATAATTCCTCAGAGAACCAGGAGTCTGTCTTTTGTCCACCCACAGTTTATATAGGGGTTGCAAGGGGGAATTAAGTACAGAAGCACAGAGAGCAGTGGATTGGTTCCATATAATATCATTATTCTGATTGGTCTACAGCAAGTTCAGACTCAAGGTAAGAAACATTAGGGTGAGGTCGACTAGACCAGGGAGACACATATTTGGGAGAACATGTCTGTTCAGGGTAGGGTCGACCAAGGAAGAACTTGCTTGGGCTGAAAACTAAAACTGCTGACGGCCGATGCCATCCTGGACCCATGCCCTGCTGACTGAGGGCCGCATTATCCTTCTGTCCTGCAGCAGCAAGTGGCAGTAGTGCTGGCAGACAGAGAGGAAGGGTTAGAGACCCTGTGCCAGGCCTCACCGCCAGCACCAGGCCTCCACCAGGGACCTGATGGCCTGAGCCTAGGGCTGCATGAGAAATGCATCAGAGTGGGTTACACCCCAGGATGGGTTCAAGCCCTGGGCAGACAGGGAGTCTGGACAGTAGACATCAAGGTATGTCCTTGGCGGAGGAATTATGTTCTGGGCAGGGCTAGCAACAAAATATGTGCTTACAATAAGCATGTATTACACACTACAGAACTTTAGAGTTAACTCCAATTTCAGATTAACCCATACCACATTTTTTCTTTTCACTGAGTCCCAGCCCTGGGAGGGGACTTTATAGCCGGAACAGCAGCGACGCTGATTGGCTGCTCTAGGAGCCCACAACCAATACGTGGGAAGCGGGGTCTCGTCAGGAGTGTCCAGGCAGAAGGACCCGACCTGGCTTGGCCCAGGCAGAAGTGAAACCCAGATGGGAATCCCGCGATG